CGGTATACATATTTAAAATTTTTTAGAACCAGTGGTTGAATTTTTGTACTGAAAGGGTTAACCCTAAAAGTATAATCTACGTCTGCGAGGCGTATACGGAATGGGTCTATTTTTTAAATTTTAACACAAAATTTACTTTTTATTTTCTTGTTTTAAATAAATGTGGTTATAGTTTTTATTAATAAAACTAGGTTTTATTATTAGTCAAACTCACAACTTCAATATTCTTAAAAAAAATAAGACAGGAGTATATTTTAGCTCACAGGTTATCTTTTAAGTACATAAGCCTCTACGGCGTATGTTAAGGCTTTACTTTACTCCCAAATAGATTAGGCTTCTAGNAGTACATAAGCCTCTACGGCGTATGTTAAGGCTTTACGTTACTCCCAAATGGATTAGGCTTCTAGGGTTTAAGAAAGCTTTAGTTTGAAAGTGTGATATTAAATGCTTTTCACCATAAACGGCGCAAATTTTCAATGATTATTGCGTTTCAGATTAAGACTAATACCAGATATTGTGAAAGGATGGACTATACTTTAAAGATGACGGTTTTCTCATGGCCAACTGCACGAAGCTTAGAGTAGAGTAATGTCTTTTAAGAACTTAAAAATTATCCTGGGTTATCAGGTGTCTAGCAATACAAGATTAATTGTGTTGGTGTTGGTTGATTTTTCCGACAGGGTGGTAAGATGATTCGTTCCAAAATAAATCACAAGATTAATTGTTGTCTTTCACGAAGTTCTTTAAATAAATTTTGAGCTAAGTACTCACCCGTATTTCGGGGGTTACTACTAGTTTTAATAAGTTGTTACTTTAATTTCCTATAAAATTTACCTTTAGGTTTATGCATTTTAAGAATACATCGAAAATTTGTTTTAGAGAATTAATGTGAAATAATTGCAGAAACGATTAACCGGTTTGCTGAGCAACCGAGATGTCTGCTTTTTAAATAATTTTTGTAAAACAAATCGGCAAGTACATATCGTCCCCCGCATGCCAGAAATATGAATGTGTAAAGATGCAAATTTTGGGATTTTTTATATACGTAGAAGTTACAAAAAGTAGATACGCGAAATTAACAACGACAACATACCCTAAGAATGTGCATACCTACTTTTTATTTACAGTTAGTTTTACGCAAGTGATGAATGAACACAATTGACTAGTTAGTTAGTTTCGTGTCCATTCTTTAGTAAGCTATACTCTCACAAAATAATAAAAAATAATAAAAAAAATTTAAACGAAGAAAGATGACCAAAACTTGCAAAAATCTCTCTTCGATGTTTACATTCTCGCCACCGAATCATCATATTTGGACTGTACTATATGCAACGGTTTCGAAATTAATGAGACTGATCATTTGCATTAATGTTTATAAAGAAGAGAGCCATAACTTTACCATAATTCATAGAATGCCGCTCTAAACATGTGGTTAAACTATATTTTATTGCGTTTAAGAAGGATCTCTTATATCATTTTTATCACTCTGCCAAGCTTTTACGGGGTTTTAAATTGCCTGTCCGTCATCTCAGATCCCAGCGATATTGAAAACAATTATCCCCAAAAAACAGCACAAGGACCAAAGCATAATCCAGTAAATAACTAACCCTACTACTCCAACCGAGTTTACAGGATTAATAAACCCAATGCCCTCAAGATTAGAGGAAGCCATTATGTGTGGGGGTTTTTAATTCCTTTCAGGCGAAAATAAAATGTTACCTAAATTTCTCCTGATTTTGACTTTCTGCCATTATACAAATAATTTATTTATCGTCGCCACTCTCAGATATGCTATATCGACTATAGTTGTGACTGCACTCTGATTAGGAATACAGATTTTTCAGCTGGGCATGCTCGGTCGATTTCTAGTTAGTTGCCAACGGCAATTAATTCGGCTCCAAAGAGTTTTGAGATTTGTGTTCTTACGAATTTCCATATGCACTTTACATATGTACGTTTAAGTATGGGATGACTCGAGGCCAGATAAATAAAATGTCTTCAACTCTTACCTTCGAAAGAAGATACCAGACAAATTCCTGTTAAGCTTGAAGTGTTTTTCACGTAAAAGTCCAGATGCAACCACAACATGTACAAGGTCTGCTCTATGATGAATACATTTAGCGAAAGCTCTTTTTGTGCATTTTCGCGATGTTGGATCCTTTCTATATATGCAGACCGATCTAAAAATAAATTTAAAAATATAACAAATCTCATCTACTTAGCAAATATATTTAGAGATAGAAACTCAATGACCAGAAACTTACCAGAAGTATCGATGCTAGTGTCCGAGATAAATGATTTATGTGAGGCTATGCTGTCAGTAGTTCGCTTTTGCATTTCTAGATATTCTACTGAGCCTTGCAAATGGTTCAAGACGGTGACAAAGTCAAGTGATTCCGTTAAAGCTCTATCTAAATTATCCATTCTAAAAAAAAATGCCTTGTTAGCGAAATTGTAATTCACCAATAAAAATGATAAACGTCATATACATATCAAGCCCTATCTGCCAAATATAAAACGTAAGCGAAATTTTTCCTGCATCAAAAACAAAATTTTGAAAAAATGGCGCTTACGATTTTTTGGTGGTTAAGGGACTGTGAATATTAAGTTGGAAATGCATACATACTTCGAGTTATGAATAAATACACAAAATAATTTCTCCTATATAAAAAATTTCGTTTAAAACCAATAACAATGGATTACAGCAAAAATGTTCAATGGATGCCACTATCCAATTCCTATAAAGAATTGCTCGCTTATTCCGAAAATCGACTTAATTTTTTATTCCTTGGATAAGTTTTCAAGATATTTTCAATTTACCGTTATTCAGCTTAAAACCAAAAGTACTTAAACTTAATCACGTATATCTTACGAAGAAATTTAACAATCTTAATATGAAATACGGCAAATGAAAGCTAACAAAATTCACTTTTCGATAAGGCTGATAGTTTGTGTAAAATTAATTATTCATTCCAGATTTTTCATTTTTTTTAATGAGGATATGAAAAAAAAACACTAACAGAAGACAAATTTCAAAAATAACAGGTTATGTGTCAATTTTTGCCTTTGTGCTAAAGCCTGTTTTGTTATAAAAAAATCAAGTTACTAATGAAGAAAATCGATGGATAAATAAAGAAGTAATGAGTGGTCGAATGAAAATGCGCAAAGATTTTTTGTATGAAATATGAGCGTAAAAGCGTGCTACTGCGTAACATTATTTCCTGCTCATTTCTCATATAAAAAATCTTTGCGCATTTTCATCTGACCACTCATTACTTCTTTATTTATCCACCGATTTGCTTCATTAGTAACTTGATTTGTTAGTAACAGAACAGGCTTTGGCACAACTGCAAGAGTTTGACAAAGAACCCGTTAGTTTTTTAATTTTTCCACCACAAAAAAAGCACTGAAATGAATAATTAATTTCTCAGAGACTATCGGTCCTATCGGAAAGTGATGTACATACGGTTTATGGAAAATTTTGTTAGCTTTCATTTGTGGTTTTCCATTTTCAGTTTGTTAAATTGGTTCATGAGATATAAATGACTAAGTGGAACTACCTTCTGTTTTAAGCTGAATAACGGTAAATTGAAAATATCGCGAAAACGTATCCATGGAATAAAAAATTAACTCGATGTATGGAATCAACGGACGATTGTACATACTGATTGGATAGTGGCGTCTGGAGAACAAAAACCAAATTCAAATTTGTGATCCAGCGAAATTAATACTAAAAAAATGTGTTTGTATAGCTTAAAATTATTGTAACCAGTATAGGTATCTTGTACATTAGGGTGATCCAAAATAACTAACTTGACGAATTGATGGCCTTGAAAGGACCTATTTACTAAGAAGAAAATTCTCCCATTTCGAAAAATTGTTAATCCAATTTTAAGAGGTGTCGGTGGGCATTTGAAATTTTCCATATAAACAACATGTAAAAAACTTGTTTTTGTTAAAAATAATATAACCGAGAAAAACATTGTATCTCAAACGGTACAAGTTTTTTCTTGTCATATTCTTGTAGCTTATAAACTCTCTATAAAGTTAGCCTTAGGTCCATTGAAATTGTAATATTTGTTAGGATTTTCTGATCTAACCGTTGTGTAAATAAAAATACTTTATTTAGATTTTTCCCGACGTTTCGTTAAAATTTTTAGCATCTTCAGGGGATTTTTTTTTTATTTATCTGCGCAACAATAAATATAAACCGTTAACAAAACAACAAATAAATAAAATAAAAAAAACTTTTCAATATACCACACTTTTAAAAATGGACTAAAAAGTAGAAAATAATATTTCTCAGTCCCATGGAATTTATTGTGATAACTTTTGATTTTGAAATTTTAGCGAAAGTCATTATAAACAATTTATGAGATTGAAAACGAAAAACGTGGAGCGCATGCAATACAAAGCATTGGATTTAATAGCAAATAGTCAAACTGCATAACACAGACCTAAAATTTCTACAGTGCAAGTACAAAATTGAGGTCGATTTTAAGCGATCATTCATATACCCACATACATACATATATTACTTCTCATATAAATTGTTTATAATGACTTTTGCTAAAATTTTAAAATCAAAAGTCATCAAAACAAATTCTATGGGACTGAGAAAAATTATTTTATACTTTTTAGTCCATTTATTTTTTATATTTTATTTATTTTCTACTTTTTAGTCTTGTCTGTATAAAATTTTGCAATAGATATTGAAATAATTCAAAGATATTAATAGATTGGTGCTTACACATATGTTAAGTGTTCGGCCGAGCTTCTCCTCTGTTTTGTGGCGTGCGCCCTGATGTTGTCACACAAAGGAGATAGACTTACAGTTTTACGCCGACTCCGAGCGGCGATTGTATTTTTATGAGAAGCTGTTTTTCATGGCAGAAATTCACTTGGTGATTTTCCCTTGCCTGTCGAGGGGCGACCCCTACTCGAAAACACGGCACTCCCAGCGTTCAAAAACACGTTAAAACACCTTAAAAGGCCTTCAAACGGCCAATGGAAATCAACCAACTGGACACAAAATGGTATGAAAGTAACTAGTTCCCAAACTTAGTGCCTCGTCGCTGACTGATCTCAGACTGGGTACCAACTGGTCCCCAAAGACTAGTTACCAACTGGATGTAAACTGAATACCAACTGGACTCCCCGTACCCCGAGTGGTTCCCAATTCACCCCACCAAATTCACCCACTGAGACAAACATGGTGTCGCACGCTTATAATATACAGAATTATTTCAAAATTTAAATTTTTTGGGAAAACACAATCAAAGTTTGTTCAATTCATACAGTTGGTATACCATTAGAAAGTTAGATGGAAAGTCACATATATTAGCCATTTTTGGGAAGTTTAGTCATCTGTTAGACTGAACATATTCTCCTTATCAAGCTCATTAATTGTGTGATGAAATCTCCAAAAACATAAATTTTGAGTTACATCTCCATATTATTAAACGTGCGATGTGTTCGTCTCAGTCTAGCCCCGCAAGGTTTTTTGTTGGGCTATGCGTTAAATTTTCGCAAATTTTACCCCCACCGAAACCAAATATGTATACGCATAGGGATGCAAACGATATATCGATGTAAGCGATATCGATGATTTTTCGGTCGACATTGATATTTTTATCGCGATGTTTTGGGAACCTATATATGGACATCGACGATATTTTTTTTCGATACTACGATATTTATATTTTCACGAATTTTTTAGTGTGAAACAATGTTATAATTAGTTCCTACATTTTTAACGCTTTAAAGGATTTAGTAACTCAAGATCTGTCTATTTGTGATTTATTAAAGTTTACGTATTTTTGTTTCCCTTTAAGTATTTATTTACACAGAGGAGAAAAAATTTTAGAATTAAAAAAAAACGTGCTAAATTTAAAAAAATACGCATATGAAAGAGCACCAACCCAACTCGTTTTAAATTTGAGTATGCATGTTATAAAATATGTCGTTGTGAAGTGCACAGATGCTTTTTCGTAATTAAGAAGAAAAAAATTTAATTTTATGTTTCGTCTGATGGTAATTAAAACCGGGCCCTCTTGGCAGCAACCAATTGTATCAAGCGTCTTTGCACACTCAGCTAAAGCCATACATGTAAATGTGTTTTCCAAAAGTTGAGTTTGATTCAACATCACAGCGCGCTATTAGTGCATTTGTACAGATAAACATGTACCATGTATGTGTGTATGTGTTGTCACCGCTGTGCATGCCCTGCAGCAATAAGGCGGCCTATTTTCCGTAAAGGACTAGTACTTCACTGGTTAAAATTTGACTGGTCAGAATTGGACATTTGCTTGCATCGAAAATGTCAGCCTTCGACCAGTCCCCAAGGAACCGGCCTAGAGATAGACGAAAAGTACAGTTTGGCAGTGACAGGGTGGTGTTGTCTTGCAATTCAATAAAAAAAAATTTTAAGAACACCACCCTGTAAATGTCCCAATCACTTGGTCTGGCCTTGATGCAAAGTGAACATTTGAACACACATTTACATGTGTGGCTGTAGCTCAGTGCGCAGAGATGCTTGCCACTATTTGTTAGCTTTCAGGAGGGTCCGGGTTCAAATGCCGTCAGAAGCAACATGGTTATAAAATGATAAATTTTTTTTTTTTGTGTTTCCGAATTATAAAAAGCATTTGCGAAGTGCAGAACGCAATCTTACTCCAACGAAAAAAATCTCCAAAAANAACCGGGCCCTCTTGGCAGCAACCAATTGTATCAAGCGTCTTTGCACACTCAGCTAAAGCCATACATGTAAATGTGTTTTCCAAAAGTTGAGTTTGATTCAACATCACAGCGCGCTATTAGTGCATTTGTACAGATAAACATGTACCATGTATGTGTGTATGTGTTGTCACCGCTGTGCATGCCCTGCAGCAATAAGGCGGCCTATTTTCCGTAAAGGACTAGTACTTCACTGGTTAAAATTTGACTGGTCAGAATTGGACATTTGCTTGCATCGAAAATATCAGCCTTCGACCAGTCCCCAAGGAACCGGCCTAGAGATAGACGAAAAGTACAGTTTGGCAGTGACAGGGTGGTGTTGTCTTGCAATTCAAATAAAAAAAAATTTTAAGAACACCACCCTGTAAATGTCCCAATCACTTGGTCTGGCCTTGATGCAAAGTGAACATTTGAACACACATTTACATGTGTGGCTGTAGCTCAGTGCGCAGAGATGCTTGCCACTATTTGTTAGCTTTCAGGAGGGTCCGGGTTCAAATGCCGTCAGAAGCAACATGGTTATAAAATGATAAATTTTTTTTTTTTGTGTTTCCGAATTATAAAAAGCATTTGCGAAGTGCAGAACGCAATCTTACTCCAACGAAAAAAATCTCCAAAATTGGACTAGTCCAGGACTATCTTACGGTCAGTGTTGATTGGACCGGTCCTTTTCCAATGACACGCCAATGC